TGGAACCCAATTCACCAGGATGGTAAGCCACGCCCACTCCCTGTTCGCCTGCGCTCTCTCGATGAAATGCATTTCGAGGGACGGTTTGAAGGAGCTCATTTGGAGATAGTTTCAGAGTCAATGGAATCATAAGTAAACGATCTAGTATCTTTTTCAAAGGTTGCGTAGTACATGTTTCGAAGGATTTTAGCTTTCCTACCATGACTATATCAAAGCTGCATGAATAGATGATTCCTGTGATCTTGTGAGGCTGCTATGAGAATGCTGTTTTCATTTTAAAATCAACATCCTACCTATTTAACTCTACCATTCAAAATTGACACTGCCTCGAAGAAGATTCTGAGGCTGCTTTCATACTTCGACGTGCGTGCCTTCACGCACGTGGGAACGTAAGTACAATCTTGCGAGCGGTGACGCGACGGCGGCGCTAGGGAGGTGTTGACAACATTAGACGCCGATGGATCACGTGCCACTGCTGTCACACATTTGGATAGCGCCGCAGTCGCTTAGCAGCTCGCACGCCGCACGCAAAATTGTGCCTGCTTTCCACCGCGTGCTGGCACGCACGTCAAAGTATGAAAGCAGCCTCTGACGAGCAATCACGAACCTTAACTCGCTGAGAGGGCGCAGGTGGCCAGACATAGGCGCAGACAGCTTCCAACGTTTCTCTCCTATTGCATGAATAAACAACTGATCATTTGATTTTGTACTGGTAAAATAACTTTAATTTAACAGAAAAATTCGTTCCTGTTGCTCTGGCAATGAGTATGAGTACGCCCGTTTCTGTCTTGAAGAAGAAGGAGTCACGGAATCTCGAGAAGGTATCTTGTTTATTTGGAATGTATTTGTTAGTAATCTAGAGGTGTTCTTTACTAGTTGCTGTACCGAGTTTCTGAGTTTGAAGGTTGTTTATGCAAACTAGGCTTATTTACTCTACAAGAATCCCAAAGTCAGAAAAGAGTTAGCACTACGTCTTCTTGGCCTTATATATTGTTCCCAACTTTCATCCTTCACTTCATTTTTGATAATATCGCGTAGCAATCCACCATGTTTCTCAACAGATTCGAGTATGCCTGTATCAATTTTCAAAACAGGGGATGAATTTGCGCGCGCCCAATCAATACCACTTCCGCGCCTATGCGCTTCCTAGCTTTTAGACCGAGATAAATTAGTATGAATGGTGTGGAAAGTTGTACGTCGCGTACAAAAGTAAGCTGGAAGCCGTTTTTATGAGGGATACCTGCGTGGAGGGTCCTACTTTGCTATTTCTTGTGGTATTTTTGCTTTCCATGCTTGGCTTCTTTTCGTAGGCACTCCGGTAAACGAGTCATTGTTTTCAGCACGTCACTTTTGCCAGTCCAACTGTTCCTACTGGATCACAGAAAATGGCAAAGTCAAAGGTGAGTCTTAAATTGTTGGAAATTACTTGAACTTGTGGCATCAGTAGTTTTCATTAATGTGGATACTTTATTGGGTAAGATCAGTCCACCTTCTGTTTTGAATGTCTTTAGTAAAGATATCAAAGACGTGAATTAAACTGAAGGGCGCTAACCATCATAGTTTCGCAAACAGAATCGATGGCATATTGGTACTGCCTCTGTAAAACCCGTATCACACAGTGTAGATGTTAAATACTCGAAATTCCAAAGAAACATACTTCAAAGCTGAATCATTAGGTATAGGCATATCATTCGACAGGTCAGAAAGAAGGGTATAGAGTAGAGCTGTCGCATATACCCCTACTTCGTACTTGTTCAAATTGCAGAGTAGGGTGGTGCAACGCGAGGGGGCGCCGCTGCCTCTCGCATTGTGAGATTGAGTCGTAAGAACGAATCCCCGATCACCTAGCTCCAGAACAAAGGAGCATTGAAGTGTTGTATGACTGAAGTTGGTTAAGTCGTATCAGACGAGTCACAGACAATAGTTGACACTTAGCTGGCTGCTCAAAGCAAGCCAGACTAAATCAGCATCTTCGAACTCCGGATGGAATGCTAAAACGTATTTCTAGAGTAGAATAATCAGCACCAAAGGTGTGGCACTGATCTTATCGTGTTTTTGTAAAATTCTTGCTTTTTTATTTGTCTTAGTAGTCTTCTTGGATTAGGCAGAACAACGTAAGCGCCAGACGCAGCAACATTTATCGAAGCAAAAGAAGTCTAAACCTGCAGAACAGTTCGCTCGCTTGCAGCAAGTAAGGGATATTTACCAAATTACCGTGTTCTTTTCCTCCATTTTTGATATTTAGCAAATTATCGTGTTCTTTTCCTCCAGTTTCGATATTTAACAAATTACCGTGTTTTTTCCTACATTTTCAAGTTTGGATGGTTGATGTAATTACAGTTTCAGTGCGAAGAAATTTTATTTGATCTCGAACGTGGATGTAAGATTATAGAGGAAAAGGTATTGTTTTGACGTTGTCCTTTTTAATATTATCAAGTCTTCAGTACTAAATTTGTTTTCCTGTTGGCTAAACATTTATTTTTTTATTNGATGTAATTACAGTTTCAGTGCGAAGAAATTTTATTTGATCTCGAACGTGGATGTAAGATCATAGAGGAAAAGGTATTGTTTTGACGTTGTCCTTTCTATTATTATCAAGTTATCAGTTCTAAATTTGTTTTCCTGTTGGCTAAACATTTATTTTTTTATTGATGATATCGAGCCTACTCAATCTACACGTGTAGGTAGCTTCGTGCCGTCAATCAACAACCGCTATGTTGAACGAGATAGGTGATCTCGCATGTAAATATGCTGAACAGGATAATCAGTTAGTTCTGTTAGAGGTCAGTACGTTCCTTACAAAGTCATTGAGCAAGGTCTTACTATACAATCACGAGTCTGTTTTGTTGAAATGGTATTGTGATCAAGGATGAAATTGCTGAAGATGAGACATCTGTTTCTCAAAACATTGGCATGGAAGCTTCCGAGGTTGAGCACGAAGTTGAACAATTGGAGCAGGTTTGGCTGAATTGTTTGAAGTTTTCGAGCTGAAATTCACCAGAAAGGTTTCTTGCTAAAGACGATAACCTGAGCTACTTGTGGATTCGAGTACCTATTATAATGTACATTCATCTTCTGCTAAGATTTCTATGGGTGTCTACGATCCTTAAATTCTTCTACAACTTTCCTTGGAATGACCGCCTTTTTGTTGTGAAGTACAAAAATGATATATTGATCATCGAAACTCTATACACTTGCAGCAAATTGCGAAACATGAGGAATTTGACAAATGTCTCTCTGAACTAGCTGACAGGATGAGCGATGAGCAATCAGATCCATTTCAACAGTTTTATGATGCTCTCCCAGATCTGGAGCGTATGCTGGCGGGGTTGTCGATGTAGATATTTCTGCTAAGTAATACGTTCCATCATTTTCTTCGTTTTTTTTCGTAAGCTTTTCTTTCACGGAGCATAGCTCGCTCAAGTTCTCAGCTCACGGTTCTGAATCCAGAGCTTTTCTTGTTTCAATTTGTTCCAGTTTTTTT